TACCCAGCATCACTGATCCTCAGTAAATATCTGTTGAGTGAATAATCACAGTAGAACAAAATATATAATTACTGACAAGTTTTTACAAAGAGAAAATTGTATTTGACCAATCTTTTTTTTTGATGGTGGTAGTGGTGATGTAGTATGTAGAACTGAACAGAGCAGTCATTCAGAGAGAACAAACGAATAGCTACAAATAATTTAAAATTTATCCTTTTAAAGCATTTTATAACCACTTGGTATAAAATTAATATGAGTGCACTGTTTTTGCAATTTTAGGGATCAAAGGAAGCAGTTTCAGGTACTTGTGGAAAACAAATTTTATGAGTGGTTGATTAATACAGGACACCGTCAGCAGCTGGACAGTCTTGTGCCTCCTGCAGCAGGCTCCAAACAAGCAGCAGGATAAGACTTCCTCATCGAAACACTGGTAGGTATTTACAATGGCGACCATGTAAATTATTTGGAGGAAATCTTATAAGTGTGCCAAAAAAAAAAAAAACCACCCAGACTGTTATGTTACCAACCATTGCTTTTTTCCCCCACTGCTCCCACCAGCATATACAGAATTTTACATGCCCATATTTATGACATTTTATACTGAGAAGACCAACCAGAATATTCAAGCAGAACCTATATCGTTATCATCAAATAGAATAGCCAAATTTGTCTTTTTTGTCTGTTGCTGGCACAGTCCAAAGCTGTTCTGTACTTCCCTGTATATGGCTTTAAGGATTATGCTTTCTAACACATTTCACCTCTATCCTGCAAACCCACATACTATTCATTTAATTTAGCTAATCTTTGTTAATTGTGCATTAATAAATAACTAGAATTAAATGAAGATTTGAATACTAAACTCTAGGAAACCTTCAGATTCAATAGAAGAGGACATAGATACAGACACATTTACTGGAAGTTGTTTAATCCAAATATATAGTATTTTTTTTAATAGAAATTAGCTTATTTTGCTATTTGAAAGTATCTTTAAGGACTCACAATAGAAAAACACAAAGGACATAAGTAGGTAGTTCACGGAAAGATACAAAGATGCTCACTATCACTTAAAATTAGAAATGTAAGATACTATTTTTCATCTATCACATTGGCAAAGATCAAAAATGTAATGTACAACACTAAGACATTTCACTTACCACTGAGCAGTGTAAATTTGTGCAGCCTTTTTGGAGGATAGTTTGACAAAATCAGAATTAAAAATGCACACATGCTTTGACTTCGTAATTTCACATCTTAGATTTAGCTTACATATATGAAAAGATCCGTTTAAAAGAAATGTTCATTGTAGCATTATTTGAAATAGCTGTAGGCTGGAAACAAGCCAAATGCTTCTCAGTAGAGGGCTGGTGCCTATGAACCAGTTCATTCATGCTTGGAATGCATCTTTAAGAAGAGGTAGGGTCATCCCCCCACCCCCGCCCGCCCCTGAGGAGGGCTATAGGGCACTTCTCCCATAATTTTTGTAGGTCTTGTGAGATAAACAAGACCAACAAAAAAAAAAGAAAAAGAAAATGTATAAAAAATAATTTTCATAATCAAGTTTTTAAATAGGTAAAGAATTAGAACAGATATTAGTTACAGAATAGGAAATCTAAATGACCAAAAAAGAAAACATGGGAAAAGATAATTACACTGACCCACAATCAGAAGAATGCAATTCAAAGAAATGAGATACCAAATCCCACTCATCAAATTAACACAAATGTAACAATATACAACTATCAAGTTTTGGCAAATATGCTGAGAAGCTGTCATAGGACTACAAAAGGTACAAACAGCTGGAAAAGCAATTTTTCAATATTTAGTAAAATTGGTATACATACCCTGTGTATCAGTTAGCTATTGCCATAATACAGCTGCATAACAAACTACTCAACAGCCAGTGGTATAAAGCTATAATTATCCTCATGCCCATAGCTCAATGGGAGAATGGATGACATTTTACTATATTCATATGATGGCATACTACACATCAGTTTAAATGAACTAAAGCCAAATGTATCAGAATAAATAAATGTNATGCCATGGACAGAGGAGCCTGGTGGGCTACAGTCCATGGGGTTGCAAAAGAGTCAGACACAACTTAGCAATTAAACAACTATTAATATTCCATTATATGGATATACCATACTTTATCTGTTCATCAGTTGATAGACATTTGAGTTGCTTCCATTTGTTAGCTGTTGTGAATAATGCTGCTGTGTGTACTTTCATGTACAAATTTTTGTGTAGAGATATGTTTTTATTTATCTTCATTATACAATACAGAGGAGTAGAATTGAAAGGCCATATGTTTAATTTTTTGAGGAACTGCTGAACTGTTTTCCAAAGCTGGGTAGCATATTCTTTACTGTTTATACATTGTTTATATTTTCAGTATGTATTACTTTTTATGAAAAAATAATTTTACCGTACTTCAGTCACTCAGCCGTGTCTGACTCTTTGCAACCCCATGGACTGCAGCACGCCAGGCTTCCCTGTCCATCACCAACTCCCAGGGCTTGCTCAAACTCACGTCCATCGACTCAGTGATGCCATCCAACCATCTTATCCTCTGTTGTCCTCTTCACCTGCCTTCAGTCTTTTCCAGCATCAGGGTCTTTTCCAATGAGTCACTTCTTTGCATCAGGTAGCCAAAGTATTGGAGCTTCAGCTTCAGCATCAGTCTGAACACCCAGGACTGATCTTTAGGATTGACTGGTTGGATTTCCTTGCAGTCCAAGGGACTCTCAAGAGTCTTCTCCAACACAACAGTTCAAAAGCATCAATTCTTCGGTTGCTCAGCTTTGTTTATGGTCCAACTCTCACATTCATACATGACTACTGGAAAAACCATACCCTTGACTAGATGGACTGTTGTCAGCAAAGTAATGTGTCTGCTCTTTAATATGCTGTCTAGGTTTGTCATAGTTTTTCTTTCAAGGACCAAACGTCTTTTCATTTCATGGCTGCAGTCACCATCTGCATTGATTTTGGAGCCCAAGAAAATAAAGTCTGTCACTTAGAATACTTAGTTAATAAATAGTGAGATTAAGAATGGAAAATCTGATGAAGATTATACCAAGGAAATGGGAACTATAAGAGGATAAAATTTTACTTTAGACTAATCCCCACTGCTTACTACCTTGTCTATTTGTGAGTTTCTATTCTTTATATCTATATGTGAACCTCAGAAAAAAGGAATGTAGTTAACTTTTAACTCACATGTTTTATCACTCTAAATTATCATCTGATTGATTTATGTGATGTTGTGAAAAGGGTTTTTTCCTATTTTTCCTTGAAGGTGATAGAAAATTAAGTGATTATAATTCTGTTTTCTTTTGTTTTTTTTCAGTCATTTTCAGGGTCCTGGCATCATGCAGATGAACAGAAGATGGTGCACATGTTGAAACTGAACTGGGAAGGTGCTCTTGCTGCTTAGGAGACTTTGGAGACTTTTCTTCCTATTTAAGACCTTTCTTTACGTTTCCTTCCAGTTTCACTTGTTACTGTTTACACTGAATTTTAGTCTAAACTTCTATTCTATAAACATATTGTTTATAGAATGTCAGAAGGCTCATTTTATGATGCTAAAATGAAAAAGTTGATGAAGACATTATGTTAATATTTTTTAAATGACTTAAGTGTTGATTTAGTAAACCTTACATTTTAAGTTGTATAATGAAAGGGTTTCATCCTTTCTAGAGTTAAATAAGAGTTTTATAGTTCTTTGTAAGTATTTAAATGGAAATTGCTACGCCTTTTAAAAAAGAATTGAAATGAAAGTATGACTTATTGGAGTATAAGTATAAATATAGCAGAAAAGCATTTATACAAAGATATTTTAGTCCTTAATGTATACAGCAATGAAATTGTGTAGAATTTTTATTTTTAATTTTCTGCTTCAAATTTTCAATAAAACTCTAAATTTAAAGTAATTTTCTCCTTTTGATTAAAAAATAAAGTTTTAACTTCAGGAAAGGTTTCCAAAGTCATTCTGTGATGTTATATCAAAATAAAGTTTACATTTGATAGGAGAGTTGTTCTTTAAGATAAAGGAAAACAGTTTAATAAATAATCTGATTGCTGATAAATGCTGTTTCATATTCTCTTTGGTCATTTAATTAGTAATTATATCAAAAGGGCTTGATCTCTTATTTCTAAAGTGAAAATTAACCCTCAGAATGTTTTAATTATAATTGGAGTTCTTATAGTTTTTATTTTAAGATGAAATTTAACCAAGCAGAGCATTATCAAATAAAGAAACACTGGAGTAATAAGAGTGTGTTTTGGAAATTGCTATTGGTTAATAAAATTAATGGTATTAATTAGATACTTTCTTTAAAGTTTATAAAATTCAGAATACTAGGCACATAACTTAATACTTTATAACCCAACACGCTTCATATCAAGGCACATTTGTCATTTTCTGAACTAACCATAATATATCTGGGGGCATCCCATTTATAAGAATATCTACTGGAGTCTTCATTAGTGGAAAGATGAGGAAGTCGAACTTAAGAGTATATTTGACTAGGAAAATTAAAATGGAGAAGACTTGATTTGTTGTTTGAGTTTACGTGAGATGTACTCTTATTCATAAAATCAGAGGTACATTAAATGCCAAAAACTGTTCTCTACACAGGCTCCAAGATGGTAACATGGCAGAGAAAGGCCACCTAATAGGCGGCAGGTTGGGCTTAGCTAAACCTTGTGATGCAGGATTTCCACAGTAACTTTCTGCTTCTTGGGCTACACACTGTAGCACACTTTCTCCTGGTCTAGAACTTTTGTGTGTATATGTGTGTTTTGAAAAAAATTTCAGACTTAAAGGACAGTTGCAGGAGTGTGAATTCCCACATGCCTTTGTCTGGGTTGACCAATTGTTAACATTTTGCTACATTCACTTTTGGAGAAGGAAATGGCAATCCAGTCCAGTATTCTTGCCTTGAGAATCCTATGGACAGAGGAGTCCATGGGGTCACAAAGAATCAGACACGACTGAGTGACCAACACACACACACATATTCACTTTACCACCCTCTACGTAGTGTTACTATTCTATTTTTGCTCAATAGTTTAAGGATAGGTTGCCCACATCTGGGACCTTAACTCCTAAATACGTTGGTATGCATTTCCTAAAATCAGACATTCTTGTACATAATCATAGTACATATAATTAAATTCAGGAAGTTTTAACAATGGCACAATAGTAATACCTAATAATATATGGTCTATATTACAATTTTTCTAGCCATTCCTAAAATGTCACTTGTATTGACTTTTCCCCCAAACACAATATCATGCACTGATATTAGTTGACATGTCAGTTTCATTGCTTTGGAACATGTTTTACTTCTGTTTAGAATTAGAGCGTGGTTTTTCAGCTCATCTCCTACAAGCTCTGTTGAAGTGAAAAAAAAAAAAAAAAAGATACTGGGGATTTCAAGGTGGCTGCTTGCTAAAAAACCAAATTGCCCAGGTAAGAAGATCTTCTTTGTTTTTAATTTTGAAAAATTTGGCTGGGTTTTGGTGTCTTGACTCAGCAGAGTCTATAATGCAGCAAGGCTTGGTAAGCATTAAAGAGGGTACTGAAGCTTTCCTTTATTTCATAATCCCGATTGTTTTTCTAGAAACCATCAATAGCCTCTAAATGACTGACTCAATTTTTGGATCCTATTCTCATGACTAAGCAAATGTTTGATTTGAAACCAGCCCAGTATAAATGTCTCTGTGCCTGTAACTCTCTAGCCATTCCTGGATTTCAGCACTGGGGAAACCAATCTATGCACCAAACATGTCTAAAGCTGGAACCAAAGTAAGTAAATGGTCAAGCTGATTTCTAGCCTTCCCACTTTCTTTTCACCTAATGATACATTGAAAGAAACATTTTTGCTTCTTCACCTGGAGGTGAGTGTGATAGTTAGAAGGCTGGGATGATTGAAGAACAGATGAAGGAATGCTTATTATATTTTTAATTCCAGCAGTTACCAAATAATTTATTAAGGGTTTTATCTTCATGTGTGGTGCTATGTTGAATACTGTACAGGTATGTAATGTGTAAGTATCATCCTGATTTCTGCCTTCTAGCAACTGATCTTTGAATTTCCACAGGACTAAGACGTGCAGATAAAAGGATTACGTGGAGTAGAAAACTTTCAGTATTCAATTAAAATTTTGTCTTGTGAAATTTAGCCTCAACCATTAATATTCTAAGTGGCCAAAGTGGGTGGACCAATCAGGTGAATTAAATCTTACATCTCCCCTTCATTCAGCAGCTACTCTTATCCTGTTCCCTAAATAAATTGCTGACTTAATCCAGGAAAATTGCCTCTAAAATATTTGATTCACAGTTGTTGGACTGGAAATTGATTCTCTTTGGGAATGAGGGAATATATCTTCCTTCTCTTTTTAATTCTTCACTGACCGTAGGTCTAAAGCAAAGCCTCTGGTACCTGGTTTCCCCCCCAATGTTTTACTTTGAAAATGTTCAAACCCATTGAATCTTAATAAGAAAGAAATGGTGAACGAATACTTGTTTGTCCTTTACTTAAATTTCCAATTGTTTACATTTTGCCATATCTAGTTTCTCTGTCTCTCTTTTTACTAAACCATTTGAAAATAAATAGCAGACTTCATTATACTTTGCCTTAAGTTTTTAGGCTTATCCTAAAAGCAAGGGCATTCCCTGTATAAACATAATATCCTTAGCAAAACATAATACCTAATATTCAGACTATATTCACTTTTCTCCAGATGCTTCCTGCAAAAACGCTTCATGGCTGGCTGATGTGGGATCCAGTCAAGGACCATGCATTTCATTTGGTTGTCAAGTTTCTTTAACACTTTTTAGGCTCTTTATTATAGAACAGCCCTGCCTATTTTTATTGTTGTTCTTTGAGATATTGACATTCTTCAAACTCCAAACCCAGATGTCTTATAAAAAGTACTGAAATCTGAATCTTTCTAATTGTTTTCTCATGTTTAGATTTAGACTGCCACCTTGGCATGAAAGCCTCATAGGCAATGTCAGGCACTTCCCATTGTATTTTTTCAGGAGGCACCTGTTAACTTGTTCCATAATTGGTTAGTGCCTGCTTGATTTTTTTTTTTTTTTCCATTTGGAAAATAGAACTAATAGTCATATTTGTATCCAGAAGGTTTGGGGAGAAAAATGAGATGACGTCTTTAGTGCTCTGAGATTTTTGAAAAATATGCCATGAAAATCCTCTAAAGAGAATCTGAAGTCTTTAGAGGGCTATCCACATGCATGGAAGGAAGGCTATTATAGAATAACTCCCACTTTCAATGATTTTCAGCATGGGAGTACTCTTATTCCTTGTAGCTGGTATATTCACTTAGTTAAAACTTGCTAGGTCAAAGGGGAGAGTGATTTATCTCTTACTCTTACTGCTTCTTCCTTTCTCACTGTCTTGCTAGCAGTTTAATCAGAGGAATTATGGGCTGGGCAAAAGCAATTTTTCTAAGTTTGTTTTTGTTACCTGTGGAATACTCAAGACATTTTCCCCTCTTCTGTATTGGATTAGTAGGCTTTTTTTTTTTTTAATTAACTTGACAATTAGAGGGATTTTGTAATAACTTTTAGGAAAATCTGCACATTTCTTAGCCTTCTCAACATCTTTTTTTGTCCAACCTCTCAGCTGACTATAAAGTGGATTTCATGGTCCTTCTACAAACTGAAATTGAGTAGAGGTGCACCATTCTCTGGGTCCTAAGCTTTGGAAGGTCTCCGGCTAAAAGAACAGCTTGGCCCTGGAGCTCAGTAATGGTGCTGTGGCAATGCTAGTGCTTTGTTTCAACCATGGGGTGGTTGGCTGGTGTGCCGGGAAGGTGGACAGCAAGCAAAAAATTATACAGATTTCTACTGTCCATATGCTGAAGTCAGGTAAGTGTGCAGAGGGTAGTGAGTGTGAGAAACAATGAAGGAAGAAAGATGATATTAATTTCCCATGGCATGTCCCTTGTAGAACATCTTATTTGGTGAATAGCTGGCCAAAAACCAACGGTCAGTTGAATTAAGGAGTTTAGAATCTATCCATTCTTAGAGGGGTTACCTTGATTTTCCTAAAGAGCTCGCCACAGGTTTTGGGAGAATCCCGTCAGATTCAGGATCAGTCTTGCTCCATTTCTAAGAGTAAGTAGCTTATGTTGAACAGAGCTGGCTATGCAGGTACGAAGACAGTAGAGGGAGATGAAGTAACCAGACTGCTAGCCAAAAGTTTGCACTGCTGTCCACAACCAGCTTGTAACTAGCTAGTGACCTTAGGCAAGTCATTTAGCTTCTTTATCTGTCACCGATGTAGCAAAAGTTTATTGGCAGTCATGAGGCAGCTATTAAAATTGCTTTATTGGCACTGTGCCATCAGACCCTCAGAACAACTTTGCAGTGGACAGTGTTACCTAGATTTAACTAGTGGTGTTGCCGTTTTGTTTTCTTACTCGTAAACTGGGGTACCACATATCTCTAAACCTGTCTTATGCTAAAATGGAAAAGGGAGCAGGAAGAGATGAATGTGGTAAGGGGGAAAAGGGGGTGGAGCAGATGATTTAGGGGTGGAAAGGGTAAGGAAGCTGTTAGGGAACAGGAAAGAGAAGAGAGAAACGGAAAGGGCAGGGAGGGGAAAGTTTACAGTGGAAGGAAAAAAACTACCAGTAGGTTACCATCTAGAAAGACTCACCTGGGGCAGAAAAGAATGAGGTGTTACACCCAATTGCAAGTCATTCTTAGTTTCTTCCTCTCCTTCACTCCCTGCATCTGACTAGTCACCAGATCCTCATTTCTTGTGACTGTTTCCCTCAGTGTCGTTCATGTTGCTATTGCCTTTGGTTGGTCCTCAGCAGCTCTCAGCTCCACCAATAGCAGTCACCTGTTTCTAGGCACAAGCCACTGCATTATTCTAGCCTGGCTCCTGGGTCACTTTTGGTTTAATTCCTAACTCTTCACCACGTGCTCAGTCTGCACCAGGCTTAGTGAACTACTTGTCCCTACTCTATGGTGGGCCATGTTCTTTCACTCCTTTATTCCTTTAAACGAGCTGTCCTTTTTCCCCTGCCTCTAGAAAACCCCTCCTTATCCTTCAGCCCTCACCCCAGACATCCTCTCTTCCAAAGTCCTCTCCAGACTCTTAACTGGGTCTGCTGCTGGTCTCTAAAATGGCTGACCTGGTTTTTCCTCCTAAACCGATAAAGCACATTTAGCCACAAGGTGGCGGCACAACATCAGGGAATGACACCTGTGATTTCAGTTGGAATTACAACCTGGCAATGATCATGGGTGTGGAATTATAGAATAAGAAGGGACAAACTCTGTGGTCCATTTGGTCTCGTGGTTTTCAGAAACTGCGTCATGAAGCCCTGGGACTTCCTGGGAACTCGACTGCCTAGTTCAGAGAGAGAAGTTTTATTTTACAGCCAGGGCTTCGATTCCAGTCCAGTCCTTTTATTTGACCAATGAGAAGCCGCAGCCTGGAGCAATGGCTTGATTAAAATAGCAGGGCTGATGGTAGAGCTGCAGCTCTCCAGCCAGGCGTAGTATTTCCCTGTTTCCCAGGGCTGCATATTTCCCAGTGCTGTCACAGGCCTTGGAGGTTTACCCTGAGGATTGTGGTGCAACTTGATAAGAGCTTGAAGCAAAGGACATTCTTGCCTTGTTTTGTTACTTCGCAATGATTCTATTGGCAACAAAATAATAGTACAGAACATATATATTCATATCTGTATATTCTATATTATCTAAAGTTCTTAAGCTAAAGTTTATGTTTTGTTTCTCTTTATATATTTCCTCTATATCTTCTAAAATGAATTTCTGTATTTGGAACTCACTCATCTTCTTCCAGCCTTTGTTGAGGGTTTTGTCCAGTTCTGGGCACAGGAATCCATAGCTTAAATAAGGTTTGATCCTTGCCCTTGAAAGAAGTCTCGGTGGGAGAGACAGATACAAAAGTGGAAAACGTATTACAGAATGTGATAAGTAGAGTGAGGAAGAAGCCATGAACGAGTCTGAAAAGGATGGCTTATAGTAGAGCACTCTTGTTTGGCTTCATCTGAAGCCCTCATAAAGTCCTCATTCCTATTGCTGACAGCTAAAGTTGTCTGCCAGAAGGCAAATGTGTGAGGTACAGTAGAACTCTATATTTCTCTCCTCCAAATGGAGGGGAAAGGAGTCTTAAAGTGCGAGGTATGCCCTTAATTTTCACTTTTCTGTAAGCACGGCCACTTCACCCCGCAGTTCTTTGTTTTGTTTGCCCTGTACTCCAGATTACTTTCTTTGAAGATAAAAACTTTCAAGGCCGCCACTATGACAGCGATTGCGACTGTGCGGATTTCCACATGTACCTGAGCCGCTGCAACTCCATCAGAGTGGAAGGAGGCACCTGGGCTGTGTATGAAAGGCCCAATTTTGCTGGGTACATGTACATCCTACCCCGGGGCGAGTATCCCGAGTACCAGCACTGGATGGGCCTCAACGACCGCCTCAGCTCCTGCAGGGCTGTTCACCTGGTGAGTCTGGAGGCGGCGGACTCTCTCTCTCTCCTTCCCCTTCCCCCCCTTTTTGGCTTAAGATTTTCCTACCTCTTAATGGGTGGTTGACTCTTGTTGGCTGCTGAGGCTTCAGTCAAATGTTAGATCAGTTCTTGGTAAGATGACACGATTTATTTCCACTTTTCTTTACCCCTTATATATTTTAAGGAATAAAGTTTTCCTTATTGGACGTCAACTGTTTTAGTCAGTACACAGTGGGGATGGGAGTTCAGATCATCTCGCTTTCAAGATGGCAGGTCCTGAAATGCTTTCTCCTCTGAGTTCCTAGCCTGCTGTTGATTTCGGTAACACTTGCTGTTCTTTCCCCCTTGTTTTCTCTTATGTTTTTGTTTTTCAGTCTAGTGGAGGCCAGTATAAGATTCAGATCTTTGAGAAAGGGGATTTTAATGGTCAGATGTATGAGACCATGGAAGACTGCCCTTCCATCATGGAGCAGTTCCACATGCGGGAGGTCCACTCCTGTAAGGTGCTGGAGGGCGCCTGGATCTTCTATGAGCTGCCCAACTACCGCGGCAGGCAGTACCTGCTGGACAAGAAGGAGTACCGGAAGCCCATCGACTGGGGTGCAGCTTCCCCAGCTGTCCAGTCTTTCCGCCGCATTGTGGAGTGATGATACAGACGCGGCCAAACGCTGGCTGGCCTTGTCATCCAAATAAGCATTATAAATAAAACAATTGGCATGCATTCCGCTCTTTACTGTGACGCCTCTCCTTAAACACCTTAAACAGGGGCCAGTCAAGTAATGCCCACCACAGCACGCAGTCACACAAAGCAACTCGCCCTTCACGTTACCCTTCTGTATCTTTGTGCCAAAAAAAATAGGGTTGCATTAAAAGGATAGAAAATCATACTGCCACGGGGAGGCCCTTGTTGCTTAAGGTCTATATTAATTCACCAGATACAGTCATCAGAGCTGCCATTTATTGTGTGCCTTCATTTTCCCGTTTCTCTTCACAATAGCCCTATAAGTGGGGGGTGTCTATTTGCATTTCACAAATAAATAAATCGAGGCCTAGAGAAGTTCAAAAGTCGCCCAAATTTACCATCTGGTGAGTGGAGGAACCTGGATTTGGTACAGGACATTTATATTTCCAAAGCCCTTGTCTTTCTTTATTTCTAACTCTTTCATTCAACACACTGGCTGGGGATCTCTGTGCATAATGTAAGACGGTGAGATATTGAAAAGCTAGGAAGGACAGGGCCTCCCAAAGTTCTGCCTGAGGAGTCAGCACACCTATCTAAAATAGCCAGTGAAAACAGGGCTGTTATTTGAAAATAATAGAACTCCATGTGTGTGTCTGTGTGTGTGTGTGTGTGTGTTAGTCACTCAGTCGTGTCCAACTCTTTGTGGCCCCGTGGACAATAGCCCACCAGACTCCTCTTGTCCATGGCAAGAATACTGGAGTGGGTTGCTATTTCCTCCTCCAGGGGATATTCCTAACCCAGGAATCAAACCTGCATCTCCTATGTCTCCTGCATTGGCAGGCAGGTTCTTTACCACTGCACCACTTGGGAAGCCCTGTGTGATAATTCTCTTAAAAATTTCATTTTGTTAACTTCCCCTGCCTTTTGTCATTTTGTCTGTTTTGAGTGAGGGGTTTTGATAAACTGGGGTAGAGGAATGGGAGGATAAGTACTGAGCTGCAGAGAGCTCTGGGCCTCTCGACCTGAAGCTGACTTTTCTGATCTCCATAAACCAGCAAGCTGAACCAAATGCTCGCTCAGGTCCCGTCAAATATCAACATTCTCTGGAGGCTGAGGACTAGCTGATGACTAACGACCACGGACACTCATTTTTAGAGGCATACTTTCAGGAAGTGGTTCAGAGATACTGCTCCTCCTTTTCTGCCCAGGAAACTGAGGTGGTGGTAACAGTGAGTGAGGGCCAGTCCCTCCTCTCATATCAACTGCTGCCACGCTCCATTCCATGGTGAGTCGGCCACAGTCTGTTAAAACAGCCAGAAAAGCAGCTCTGGCGGCAGGATAGGAAAACAAGTGTCAGGATGACTAACCACAGCCTCAGAGAAGCAGAAGATGGCTTTTGACAGATGAAACTGAATTATCATTTCTAGATGTCAGATGCCTTTTGGTTCATGCCCTAATCCAGAAAGCAATTGCAACCATTCTCCCCAGCTATAGAGACATCCATCAACTTGCACTTAAAAGGCATTTTACTAGCAATTGATATTAGAGGTCAAGAACACTTTACGTTCTTATCAATCAATCTCAGTTCTGGTACAATATTTTGGCATTAGAGTGAGAAGCTAGTGTCTCCCTCCCCTCAAACTCCCCACTCGCCCCAGTTCAAGCACATTCAGAAGAGCACCGATATTATTTAGAATTATCTCCCTCTACCTTTTATTATATTGTTGCTCTGAAATGGGGGATGTCAAGAAAACTAGACAAAAGCATTCTTAGACTATTTCAGCTCTGCTTCCATCCTGAACATCCCTCAATGACAATTTCTTTCCTCGCTGAAGAGTCAGAAATGGATTCCAATCCTTCCACTTGCATGTCTTAACTCTTAAGTCACACAGTCTAATATGCATAACCTCAATTTCCTTATTTGTACGATATAACAGTTTGTGGGCATTAAAATGAGATAATACATGAAACATACGTAGCATCTATTATTTATAGTAGCTATAAAGAGTATGAACACTGAATAGCAAACACTGAACTACTTTTTCTTAAAGGAAATACAGGGTTGGGTTCCTGTGAGCCTCTGGTCACAACATTCTTGTCAATTAATCAATATATAACCTTTTAAAATATGTGTTTCTTGTAATATACATTATTGATTGATTGATTATTTTCTCTGTAAGGCACATCACAGCTTTCTTATGCTTGGAAACACTGGACTGGACATTGGCACTGCCTCTAGGGTGGTTCCATACAGCAAAATCATGAACCAAGAAGGAAATAATACAAAAACATAGCACTAAACACTGCAGGAAGAAATCCTGTTTATAGTACAAGAGCTGAAACAAGAAGGCAGAACATTTATTCCACCTCAACTGGGAATGTGCACACTGGGTGACAAATTTTTCGCTGCTGTGTTCATGTCTGGGAGTGACCTCAAAGGCACCGTGAGCAGTGATTTGGGAGTTACACATGCACTGATCTGTGAATGACAAAGATTGAGTCCACTTCCCACCTTGGTGCTTGACCTGGTACCTTTTCCTAAGACATTAAGTATTAGACCTCTGTTGTCAAGTTGCTCTGTTTTCTGGTTTTTGTTGTTTTACTTGTTTAGCATTTTCATAACTCTAATACCCTAGTTCTTTTCAGAAAAGCATCTCGGCATTTTGGCAGATGCTTCCTAGTTGGGAAGAAATATATCAGAATCATCCAATCCATCCTGTTGCCTTGAAAAGGAGCCACCTTCCACAGGAGTCTGGCTGTCCCTTAGTTCTCACACCCACCTCCCTCCTAGTTCTGAGTCCCACTAGTCCCCAGGGCCAGCAGGGTTGTCCAGAGAGCTCTCTCTCTCACACACACACACACACACACATTCTGTTTTCTCACTTTCTCCTCAGTCTGTCTTATTTGGGGTCTCTTAGGCAACAGAGAACAGTGAATCACCAAGCTTTCTTTTCAGCCCTTTGCCTGACTAGCCATTAGTATCCGGAGAGAAGGATCCCTTCTATGCAGGGGAAACCTCTGTGTCCACGGGCACCTCCTCCCTCTGCCTCTTCACTCAAGCCTCAAACTTCAAAATCAGAGAACTGTGTACTGGAGGGGCTGGGGGCCTTGCTGTAGACTATAACAATGGGAGAGACGGGCTTATTGACCCCAGTTTACAGAGAAGGAACTCGGGCTCAGAGAGGATGAACAACTTGTCCAAGGTGACTGGTTCCCAAGTTCTGGTTCTTCCACTGTACCATGCAGCTTCTGCCTCTTAACCTTCACAACGTAGAACCAGGGTACCTTTTCAGTCATAACATGAGCTATTTCTTTTTAAATAGCTTGTGGATTATAGAGATATAATCCACACACCATACAATTCACCTGCTGAAAATGTACAACTCAGTGGTTTTTAGTGTGTTCACAGCCATAAGCAACCATCTCCACAGTCAATTTCAGAGCATTTTTGTCACCTCAGAAAGAAACATGCACTCTTTAGGGATCACTGCCATTGCCCACCCCCACCCCCACCCCTCAGCCCCGGCAGTCACCAATCTGCTGTCTCTATCCATGTATTTGCCTATTATGGACATTTTACAAAAACAAACTCATATAGTAAATGGTCTGTTGTGACTGACTTCTCTCCCTTAACCAAATGTTTTCAGAATTCATTCATGTTTTATCATCCTTCATTCTTTTTATGACCAAATAATATTCCATTGTGTGGATATCCCACATTTTGTTTATCCATTTACCAGCTGATGAACATTTGAATCATGTTGCTATAAACGTTCCTGCGCAAATTTTTCAGTGGACATATAGTTTCATTTTGCCTGAGTATACACCCAGCAGGGCAAATAGCTCAGGGCCTGAGCTAGTTCTTCTTAAATGCTAGAAGCCTCTGGGGACTTGAAGCCACACAGACCTTGGTTCAAAACTCTCCTACTTTCCAGCTATAGGATTTCAGGCAAAAACAAATCTCTTAGTCTCCGTTCTCTTGCATGTAAAATAGAGTAATTACACCCAATTCCCAGGGGTTTTGCTGGCACTAGAAGTGATAATAAAGGGAAATTCTTAATTCAGTGAATGATCCAAAGGAGCAGGTACTCAGTAAAGGCAGTGATTCTAAAATCCTCCCAAATATGGAATCCCTGCAGGAGTAGATGTAAGAGGAGTTGTAGGTGCTGAGAAGGTTGGTGCCCTTGGGTTGGTGGTCTCTTCAGTCCCTCCCCACTTTAATGATCAGTGACTTAGGTGTCTGTGTCTACGAGATGGCACCTGGTGAACAGGTACAGAGGAGGGAGGAAGGTAGAGGGGCTTGGGGGTGGGGGAGGATTACAGGAGAGCAGAGAACTTCTGCTCTTGAGGGGAGCAGCTACTTGCACAGAAAGGGGAAGGTGATCTCTCTCACTTCATTTCTTCCAGGCCTTGTGATGCCCCCTTGGTCTTCTCTTACCTCTGTAAACCATCTCATTTCCTTTCTCTTTGGTGAATGGTTTCCTGTTTCCCCAGCACCCCAGTGGCCCTTTGTGATTCAGCAGCCTCCGGGGCTCAGCAACCTGGTTGAATGGTTCTGGAATTGATGAGCTCCAAGGGAAAGCCTGCCAGCACTTTGTCCCCTGGGAGGGCAATGGGCAGAGATTTGTTCCCATTGTTCATGCCCCGCCTCCCTGAACAGGCCACATTAGCCCGGGCGCTGACCCGTGGGCCTGGACAATGGGGGCCTGTCTGGGGTGCTGACCTCTGCACTTCTCAGCACACACCGCGTGCTGCGTGGAGCTCACGGGGAACTTGATGACCCTGACTAGGCTAGCTCTGCAGGGTCCAGCACTCAGGACAGCAAGAGAAATCTTTAGATTGTGTGTTCCGGTGAGCCAGGGAGGGGCAGGAGGCTTCCTGCAGGTCGGTTACAAATTAGAAACAAAAGCATCTCAACCACTAACAAGCTTTGGAGGCCTCCTCTAAAAGCCAGGGGTTCCTTGCTGTGGAGAGGGAGCTGGTTGGGTCTCAGGCTCAGAGGCATATCAGTACTATATAGGTGCTATTCTAGAGTTGAT